ATTTTATGGTCTCCCTTCTGTTCCGTTACACCTCTAAGTTTCTAGCAATTAAAAGCTATATCATCCTCCCTCCCTCTGAATTGAACCTTGTGGACTTTGTGCTGGCAGATTATTTCTATTAAATTAATTCAGCTCATCCCTTAAGATCCAACTCATAGTATGTATTTTTTTTTTTTTTTTTGCCAGTTCTTGGGCTTGAACTCAGGGCCTGGGCACTGTCCCTGAGCTTCTTTTGCTCAAGCTAGCACTCTACCACTTGAGCCACAGTGCCAGTCTGTTTTTTTTTTTTCTATTTAATGTGGTACTGAGGAATCAAAACCCAGGGCTTCATGCATGCTAGACAAGCACTCTACCACGAAGCCACAATCTCAGCCCCCACAGTATGTATTTCTGACATGGTGTACAGAATTATAACATCCTTTCTCCCTTCTTCCTTTGGGATATGCTTTCAGTAGTCACCTACTCATAGATGTGTCATCCTTGCTCTAAGAAAAATCTATCTATAATTTTCTGAGAGCTTGTACTAAGAATTTATATTTAGATATACATGTATACACATAATTCTTAACATTCTGAGCCAGGCATGGTAATACAGACCTGTAATCCCAGTACTCAGGGGGCTGCGGCAGGAAAATTTTGAGTTCAAGGCCCACCAGGGCTACAGAGTGAGAACTTTATTAGCTTTGTACCTGAATTCTGCAAGGCTAGTATATAGCAGGCTTCTCAGACTGCAACAAAAATACTGGGAGACAGGTGCTTTAATGTGAGAGATCTGATGGTGATTCCCTTTTGGAAGCACCATAATGTTTTCTGTGTCTTTTAAGGCTTAAGTCGGTAAATAAAGACAAACAGAAGATATGCTAGAATGTTAAAATGCTTAAAACCTGTGAATTTTGGCTTCTTTTGAAAATGATGTAGGTCTCACAATTGGAAAAGGATACAGAAAGAAATGGCAAAACATGACTGATGGTCACAAAGGAATTCAATAGAGAATCAAAGTTAGAGAGACTGACAATGATGATGCAGAATGGCTGGCACCACCCTTAACCAACCTGATGTAGGAAAAGATGGATACAGCCCTCACGAGGAGAGGCATGACACTTTATGAAGGATTGTTTGTGAGTTGAAGCTAGGGAATAAAAGACAATATGTGGGGTTTTGCCTTGTTCTCTCTTTGATCACATGCTCCATTGATCTGGATGCTCAAGTGGTCCTAAGGAGAGGCCCACCTGGTGAGGGGAACTAGATGTCATCTGGACAGAATTCCATAGAACTAGCTCAAGACACAAATTTCACTAATTTCCTAACAAAGCAATTTTACCTCAAGATGAGACTACTGTTGAGCTGAACTATCAGACAACTTCCTGACAAGTCTGCTTTCCTATAAGGAGAGGTCCTTTACCCAGGGTTTTTCTGGAAGAATGGTTCATTTGAATGAAATTATAATTATGCATCTAGGCTGGTTCAAAATCATATTCTAATGCCTGTACTGTAATGAGGGTAACGGACTTTAATAGCCAATATGTGTTGGCAGGCATCTACCGCAAATATTTCTTATTAGCACGGTAAGTTAGCAGTAATATATATATGGTAGATGGTGCTCTCCAAGTTTAGTCATAGGTCCTATGGGCATGCCACCAAGACCATTTCAAAGACTCTGTGATGGGACAGTATTTTCATAATGATACTAGGCTACTGTTTACCTTTTCTACTTACTAACATTTGTACTAGTTATATAAAGCACTAGTGGGGGGAAAAAACTCTGCTGGTACCTCTCCATTAATCAAGGCAATGGTACCAAACTTTACTAGTTTGCTACCCTTTATTCAGAGTTTAGAAAGCCAGTTTCATGCCATCAATTTAGTATAAGCTAATTTTATTAAACCTTAACTGCCAAGTTCACTGTTTCATAGAAACATTATAAGACATACAAACATTTTCTGTGTATGGTGAGAGTTAATCATACAACTGCCTGACTTACCAGTTGAATGAATTAGCTACTTTACTCATGAAACAGTCACTAACATAACATAAAGTCTAAATATTTAGACATGAGTATGTACTATGTGTTTTCTTTGAATTTGTATGAAATAAAAATACTTCAGGCTAAATAAGAGACTACACTTGTCTGTAATAAAATCTCAAGGTTTCAAACAAATTCAAGCAAACTATAATTTTTTTTGGGGGGGGGGAGGTCAGTTGTGGGGCTTGAACTCTGGGCCTGGGCACTGTCCCTGAGCTGAGCTCTTCAGCTCAAGGCAAGCACTCTATCACTTGAGCCACAGTGCCACTTCCAGTTTTCTGGTCGTTTATTGGCGATAAAGAGTCTCACAGACTTTCCTGCCCGGGCTGGCTTTGAACCTCGATCCTCAGATTTCAGCCTCCTTGAGTAGCTAGGATGACAGGCGTAAGCCACTGATGCCCAGCGCAAACTACAATTTTTGAGAACGTGTAACTGCTCTGGGAGTTTAACAGCTTTCCACAGGGCGTCACTGCCATCAGTCAGGGTTCAGCTAGAAGATGTAGCTCAATCTGAAAAGGCACCAGCAGTGTCTACAGAAATGCCACAGATGTGAGCCATCAAAGGAGCGAACTGGAAAGGGACTAGCAGAAATGCTGTGTAAGTGAGCCATGAGCAGAGCAAACTGGAAAGAGATTTGCAATATCTATAGAAATGTTGTACAGGTGAGCTGTCAACAGAGCAAACTGAAGCTCCCCCTCATCATCATCTAGATGACTGACAATCAGCTGGGACTGCCGCCTCATCAAGGAGAGCACGTAGAATCCTGCCTTCCCCATCACTCTGCCCAGTCTCAGCATCAAAGGTAGAGACGGTCCACAAAAGGAAGGCAGAAACTCCCTACTCAAGGTTTTAAACCCCAGATTAAAGTCTAGTCACTCCTGGAAGGAGGGAGAAGAGCACTGGATTAAACCTGTGAAATTATAATGGAAGCAAATAAAGCATTTACAACTAAAATGAGACAGTTCATCTGCAACTTATGAAGTAGTGCAACATACCTTAAGGAGGTGATACCCACGTGGAAACGGAAGCTTGGCATGGTAGCTTGAGAGATGGTTACCAGACAGAAATCAAAGCTGGTGTGTATTTACACCTGAATGAGTCTGAAGTAACAATGGAATGAAAGGCACTAAGGAGGCAGCTTGCTATGAACTCTTTGTACGATGGCCCTTGAATACAGAACTCGTCTTATCTTTGTTCATTCTTGTTGTCTGACAAACCTAAGCAGATAAGAACCTTGCATTTCTATGTCTGGGAAGAGGCTGAGAATACAGCAAGTATTTCAAGTCACAAAGTGAAAGAGATTCCTAGGAACACAGATCAGAGCAAAGAATCTGATGCCTCAACGTTTTCAACTTTCCCCTTTAATGACTCAACCCAAGAAGAACTCAAAAGAAGGAGTATTTGACAGAGGGGGGAAAATCATGTATTTTAGATGAACACTTCAACTATACAAAATGGTGGAAGTAAAATGAAGGACCTAAAGAAAGAGATTAAGAGAAAAGCAGTAAAGGTTGGTGAGAGCGGGACCTGAACTCAGTTGAACATGGAGGATGGGCAGGCATGAGTGACAGACAGAGCAGAACACTCTGGATGAATGAGACAATCATGTACAGTGGCTGCGACACATTGCAATATCAATACATACCGAGACTGAACTGCGGGTAATGCTCATAAATCTAACTGCAATTAGTACAGGTTTCTGGATTAGGAAGGACATGAAAAGGAAAGCAGAAGGTTAGAAGGTACATGTCATTGTCCCATTAAAAGAGAAGGTCTGACCTTTTAGTGGACAGATCTATATCCATGTTCTGCAGCACTGGCAACGAAGTACAGCTTGCCTATTTGCTTTGAATGGTAGCTTTGGTAAATGGCTTGTCCCTTTTTGCCTAGACATTAGTAAATTGAGTGAGTCAGCACTGAGCTCCTGAAATATCATGGAAAGTCTCACTTTTTAATTCTGTGGTACCAGGGATGGAACCCAGGGTCTTAAACTTATGAGGCAAGCACTCCACCAACTGAGCCATACCTCCAGGTCCAAATTTCACTTTTAAGTAAAAACTGTTTTCATTTCCGGGGGAAAAGAGATAGTACCCTATAATGGTATGTTTATGTTTGGCATTTCAGAGAAAACCTTTCACTAACGTGGTCAACAGACTTGGTTCAGCACTTACTCTGTGCAAGGCAGCTGAAACAGTAGAGGAAGAGCCAGGGTTACTTCAGTGCTAGTTTAAGAACAATGCAAATGTGAAAGAAACCCCGTGTGGCCCCTGGAAAAGTGGGTTAACAATGCGGAAGGAAGCCTGCTTCCTCTGAGAGACTTTGAGTCTCTGAGTGGGTACTCACCACTACAATTTTTGCTGGGTGATAAATATGCAGTAATAAAACTTCAATGTAGGTCCTACTAATTATAATGGATTAATGTTGAATTTATCTCTATTTCTTTATGAGTCAAATGTTATAGTTCAAATTTAGTTGCAAATGATTAAGCTCTCCTCTCCCAGGAATATTGGTAAGATCACCAAAAACAACATGGCTGAAGGTAGAAACAGATAGAGGAAGAAGTAGAGACAAAAGTTAGGATAAGGTTAACTTTTCAGCTCAAGGCTAGCACTCTACCACCACTTGCAGTTTTCTGGTCATTTATTGGAGGTAAGAGTCCCAGGGACGTTCCTGCACGGGCTGGCTTTGAACCGTGATCCTCAGATCTCAGCCTCCTGAGTAGCTAAGATTATAGATGTGAGCCACTGGCACCCAGCTTTCACCCAATTACTTTGAAAAATCCTGCACTGTCAATAATATATATTCCATACACGTAACTAAAAATGACTAACAGATCCAATATCAGGCATCCATTGCACCCTAACTTATTCCATCTGAAAAAGACTTTGAGAATAATCCTCATTTATATCACAAACACACTTATAAATCTCAGGAAAGCTCCCATTTTTGGCCTATGATTCCATGCCATGCATCTTACCATTGATCTACGAATCAGTGAAAGTCTAGTCTTTGCCTTATTCTCAGCAAATTCCAGGCTACTGATGTCTTTGAGGCGAGCTTTATATTTATTCATTTGCTCCACAACAATCAGTTCCACACAGCTAAAACAGGAGGAAAAACAAAACTGTTAAGAGCCAAAAATAAATAAATCAACTGTAGCATTCACAGACTATTTTTCAACTACTAAAGCCAGTTAGAGGAAGAGGGAAAATCAATACCTCTTTATGAGCTTAGATACACTTTCCTAAACTGTATTTTTTAAAGTAAAAAAAAAAAAATTTTTTTTTTTTTTTTTTTCAATCATGGGGCCTGAACTCTGGGCCTGGGTGCTGTCCCTCAGCTCTTCAGCTGTAGACTAGCTAGTGCTCTACCACTTGAGCCTCAGCCCCACTTCCAGTTTTTTCTGCTTATGTGGTGCTGAGGAATTGAACCCAGGGCCTCATGCATGCAAGGCAAGCACTCTACCACTGAGCCACCTTCCCAGCCCCCCCAATTTTTTTTTTTTTGGTCCGTTGTGGGGCTTGAACTCTGGGTCTGGGCGTTGTCTCTCAGGTCTTCAGCTCAAGGCTAGCGCTCTACCACTTGAGCTGCAACACCACTTCCAGCCTTTTCTGTTTATGTGGTGCAGAGGAATTGAACTCGGGGCCTCATGCATGCGAGGCAAGCACTCTACCACTGAGCTACCTTCCCAGCCCTGTATTTTTTTTTTAAAGAAAAAAGGTCATCCTGAAATATTTCAATTAAAGGGATTCAGAGTTATAAGATCACTAAGAAGATTATAAACTAGATTAATGCAGTATACATTAAGTTGATGAAATGGAATTTAAGACTCAACTAGTCTTGGTGGTGCACACCTGTAATCCCTGCACTTTACAAGGCAGTAGGAACACAAGTTTGAGGCCAGTCTAGGCTATTCAGTGAGACCCTATCTTAAAAACCCAAAGACCCTTTAAAACTAATGATCAATTTAAATGAATTTAAAACGCCCTTAGCATAGTACTATCCAACAATGTCTTAACAATCTTTTTAAGGACACCTGAGCTTACAATACCATTTGCTGTCGAAGTTTAGATAAGTAACTACACCAACTCAAGTCCCTTAGGTCCTGATGACAGCAGGCCTTATATGGTAGACTTTTTTTTTGTCATTAGTCATTTAACAAAACACTAGGAAGTTACATTTCCCTCTTCTTCCAAAACATGCTGAAGTTTGCATAAAATGGAATGATTCTTTTTTTTTGGGGGGGGGTTTCCAGTCGTGGGCCTGAACTCTGGGCCTGGGCACTGTACCTCAGCTCTTCAGCTCAAGGCTAGTGCTCTACCATTTGAGCCACAGCGCCACTTCCAGCTTTTTTCTTTTTACTTATGTGGTGCTAAGAAATCGAACCTAGGGCCTCATGCATGCAAGGCAAGTGCTCTACCTCTGAGCCACCTTCCCAGCCCCTGGAATGATTCTTACAGAAGCAAAATGGTCTTTGGGGTTCAATGGATCACTAAAGCACAATAATTTCAACTACTCTCTTGAGAGTTATTAAAATCATATGCTCTGATATGCTTACGTGGTAGTCTTGCTGATGTCTTGGACACTTTGTAGTGGGTCAGTGGTGTCAGGGCAGCGGAGAATGCAGGGAGCAAATACAATGGCCAGAGCATTTGCAGACATTCGGTTAGTCTCTTCCTGTAGAGCAATCCTAAGTAACAGAATAAAACAAGAACAAGTGAAAAAGGGAGAAAAGCACGTAGAAGAGATAAGAGAAAGATGCCAGGATGACGCTAGCCACTGCATCAGTGTAAAGACAACAATCAGACTTTCCCCAAAGCCATTCCCCAGCCTCTGGAAGATGTGCTTCCACTGTGTTCCTTCAACTGAAGGAACGCTTCCATTGGGTACAGGTAGCTCACACCTGTAATCCTAGCTACTCAGGAAACTCATATCTGAGGATTACAGTTTAAAGACAGCTTGAATAGGAAAGTCAGTGGGACTCTTATCACCAATAAACTACTAAAAAAGAAAAAGTGAAGCTATGGGAGAGACCTAGCCTTCAGGGACATTGCTCATCCCTAGTCTCAAGTCCCTGGACTGGCACAAAATAATAATAATAGGCTTTTTTCTCAGCTTCTGCCACATACTAGGCAGAGTCTATACCCCTTTAGTCTATGTTAACCCACTTCCCACAAATCAGGGCTTCATAATGCCACCAGGAAGCTGGAGCTGCTACTCGGCTCAGAGAAGAACAGGGAAGTAGTTACTAGGCAGGTCCATCTTAGCTGAAGGTTTGGGAGTTGTTAGGGCTTTTTTTTGTTTTGTTTTGTTTGAACAATGCTAGGAATTAAACCCAGGGCCTCATGCATGCTAGGCCAGTGCTCTATAAATGAGCTATATCCCCAGCTAAGGCACCAATTTTACCAAGGGAAGGAATCTGCTATTTTAAAAAAAGTCTTGAAGTTACCTAACTAGATGAAAGATGAGGCGCTCAAGTGTATTCAGATGAGTTCGAGAGAGCTGGTCAATCACAGAGTACACGCCACGAATTGTTTCTTTCCTCTCTTGAAGACCTACAAACAGTAATTGTACCAAGTAAGACTCAATGCCTTCTCTCTTAGGTGCTACTTACTCCCATCTACACTCCTAAGAGAAGGGCTGGCTGTAGAGTCTGGGCAAGGCCATGGTACCTGGTGAGTGGTTGGTCACCACTTGGCTCCCTGTACTCATGAGCTGTCTCCTGGGTTTTCATTTATATCACAGCAGAGGATAGAGATACTTTCGTTTTTCAACCATTATGTAGCAGATTGATTTCTCCTTAAAATTAGCCAACTGCCACATAAATTTATAAATTCTAGGGACTTGAAAACTAGGCAGGCCTTCAACAATATTCTAACTTGGAACAATGTGAAACAAAATTCCACACCTGTTAGGCGTGGCAGGCAGACAGCTTTATACAGTTCCTGCCTAGATTCCCAAGTGAAGTGACTGTCAGCTTATCCTTAAATTTATTTCATCTTCTCATCTGCTTTATAACCTTCACCTTTCAATTTCTTTGTGAGAAAACTTTTAGAACACCACCTTGAGCCTATAAGCAGTCAACATTTAAAGCTGGTCACAGTGACCCAGGACATGTTTGAAACCCTAGCTTCTCAGAACATGAAGATCAGGAGGATCAAGACCCCATCTCAACCAACAGAAACGCTAGTTGCAGTAGCATGAACCTGTCATCCTAGGTATGTGGGAAATATAAGTACAAAGATTACAATCTAAGCTGGCCTGGCCAAAAAGTGAGACCCTATTAGAAAAATAATGAAAACAAAAATGGGGTGAGGGCATGGTTCAAGTGGCAGAGCACTTGCCTAGCAAGCACAAGGCCTTGAGTTCAAATACTGTAAAAAAAGAAAAAAAAGCCAACATTTGAAGCCTATTATTTAGAAGATTTCAAGTTCTAGATTTCCAGGCCAGCCTTGGCTACACAGTTATATTTTGTCTCAAAACAAAACAAAGCCAACATTTGAATAGGTGACAGTATACTAGCAGTTTTGCATTGAGTATCAAGAATTTATCTTAGGATCTGTACGGGACAAATGGCTAGAGGGTAGTCTGGTAATAGATACTAAAGATGGCATTCCCTTCTCAAGTAACCCAGGAAGCCTTACCCATAGCTCGAAGAAATTCTTCATAAAGTTCAAAGGTCATGAGTGGATTAGGCAAATCACGAAGCCACTGTTTGAATACACTTGCAATGACATGTATATTATAGTCATCTAGGTTCACACTTTCAGCATCTATTTGAGAAAATACAGAAAAGGCCAAACAGACACAAAAAAAAGATTCAAATATTTACTTCTAAAAAAGCCTTTTTGTTTTTTAAACTAACCAAATATAACTTTCCACAATCAAATTCCCTGCTTTGGAACATATATTTTGAGGCAGAAACATCAAACCACTGCTAATGTTTCTAAATGCCTGCTAATTTTGTACTGTCTGCTTGTGTACTGATCCATAGGCCACAATTTGAGCAGCAATACTTTAAAAGACAAAGAGAAAAAAAGCCTGAGACATTTCCTACAATCGGCCACTCTTAGAGGTGACATGAGCTTAAGTAATGGGAAAGAAGTACTGCCATCCTGTTTCACTTTATGGCAGGCAGGTTAAGTTTATACAGACTGGATACTGGAAGGATGACTTTCATTTGTGCTGCTCCAAGGCTCAAGAGACAAAATTGACATCTGCCTGTAAACTGGATTAGACCAATTTCTGGCAGGTGAGCCTTCTGCTTGAGTTTTACCAAGCTATCATTTCTCATTGATTCGTTACTAAGAAATGGCATTATGGGTAGCTGGGTTTTTAGCAATACAAAGACAAGCGAGGAATCATTCTTTTCTAACCACAATGAAGCATAGCAGCTGTGAAAGTAATCAGCGGTAATCTCCCGCATATATTCCAGGAGTGAAATCAACCCTATTCACCTTTGGTCTATGTAACTAAGTCTGTACTACCTTAGATTATGGACTCAGGGATACAGGATAAATTCTGACTTGTCATTTACTGGTGCTGAGTAGTTAGACAAGATCTTCTCTAAGCTCCAGGCTCTTTTCATAGAACTATTGTGATAACTATAAAAATCATTTAGCAAGGCACAGCAATGGCAGTCCATTATTAAATTTCCCTGGACTTAAATTTTCTTCTTCATGAATTATAAGATCTACTGGGTTAGTAAAAATATTGTGATATGCTTTCATTACTTAATGCTTTGTACAAATGACATACTCAGTATGTGTGGGACAAATTAATCGTCTTTCTCTAGAAAGACACAAAATGACAAAGACCACATAAAGAACTATATTCTTCTAGCTCTAATTAACCATCAATATGTAATGAAAACTTGAAGAGCCTGAAATACTTATGCAAATGCAAGTATCTGGTATAATTTGGAAAGCACTTCTTACCTGTATCTAGACCTTGTCGAAGCTCCTTGATTTTATTAGTAGACCCAGACTTTCGGTAAATACCTTCTGTATAAAGTCCATGCATTTCAATGTAGTTTATAAGCTTTTCCACCACTAATGGAACAGTTCGGTCCTCACTAGTCAGACGGGACAGTTCAACCCCAAATTGTCGAGAAGACAGCTCTGGATCATACTAAACAGAAGATAATGTTTGTTTCTAAATGCATTCAAACATCTTTAAATATGCTTAGCCAACTTTTTAAGAGAATTATTAAAATCTGGAGGAAAAGGAATTATGATTAAGTAAGAATAACTGAGATGTTATTTTTAATCCAGAAATCCAAACAAAATGAGTGGAGAACATTCAATGGGCTGATACTTCAAAGTCTTTTCAAAAATCTCTCCAAGCAAAGGTGAACTCAGTATGGGCACCATAAGAAAACCCACTTTTTTGTGTGTTGATTCTGGAACTCGAACTCAGTGCCTTACACCCATGACTGGTGCTCTACCATGTGAGCCAAGCCTCCAGCCCCAGCTTTGTGCTAGTTATATAAATTGAGATAGAGAAAATCAGTAGTCAACTCACTTTTATATGAATTAGGATTTTCAAGTAATTCCTGAAGCCTAAGGATGCTTCAAAGATAAAACTTCACACAAGTTGAGCTGAAACTTGATTCATAACCAATGGCAAAGACTACACAGATGGGCCCATGTTCATCTGTCATAGGATGCACGGTTCAATATGAACCAATATAATTTTCATCCTTACTGAATGTTTTTCGGAACCAAGTATTAAAACTTCACCATCAGAGGCTTATTAAATGGTTAGTTTCTGTACTTCCCTAACAGACAAATGATGAAATGATTCTTTAACCATTATGCCTCATGGCTTAAGAGTATACTTTAATATTAGCACAGTCATACCGTCTTTCTGTGGTTAGTCTTTACATACAGTATCTATTTTTTTCCTTCAAACTTTCTATATGATCATAATAAGTTATCTTGCTCATAAACAGGATATACAATTTTTTTTGTATGTGTGTGTGTGGCGGGGGGGGAGAGGGGGAGTCCTGGGACTTGAACTCAGGGCATGGGCATGAGTGCTGTCCCTGAACTTTTTGCTCAAGTCTATCACTACCATTTCAGCCATAGCTCCACTTCTGGCTTTTCTTTGGTTATTGATTAGACACAACTACCACTTTCCTGCTTAGGCTTGCTTCAAACCATAATCCTCAGATCTCAGCCTCCTGAGTAGCTAATATAGATGCCACCAGCACCTGGCTTAAATTGATTTTAACTTAATTTTATTTGGAGTATTTAGCCTATTTAATGTAAATCACCAAAATATTTAAAATTTTATCAGTCTGCTGTTTCTTTTTGCCCAAACTGTTTTATGCTTTTCTCATTGCCTGCTTTTCTGGGGGGGATAGGAGAAGAGAAGGTATAGGACTTTGAATTCAAGGCTATATGCTTACTAGGCAGCATATTTGAGCCACATGTACAGCCATTTCTTGCTCTGATTATTTCTGAGATATGGTCTTGGTTCCCACCCCGCCCCCACCCCCATCCCAGCCTGGACCATGATCTTAATCTCAGCCTCCTTCATAGCAGATGAAGGAAAACACATGAGTGCCACTATGCCCAGCTACTGATTGAGATGTAAGTCTTGAAACCTTTCTGCCCAGGCTGATCTCCAACCACAAATCTTCCTGATCTCTGTACCTCAAGTAGCTAGGACTGCAGGTGTGAGTGTCACTGTATCTGACTTCTTCTCCCCATTCTACTGTTTTTAGTTTGTATATTATATATATATATATATATATATATATACATACATATATTAGTTGTTTATAATACTTAGTTGTATATTATATTTAGTTTTATATTTTTACTACATTTTTAGCACTTACTTCAGCAATATAAACAATGTTTATGGGTTGTTATAGAACTATTTAAGTAGTTTATATCCTCTTGGCTCAACTTTGGTAGGACACATGCACCTAGAAATGCATCCATTTCTTCTAGATTTTCTATTTTATTTGAATAGAGACTTTCAAAGTATTTCCCATGAACTTTGGATTTATTAGTTATAGGATGCAGCAACAATTTAAAAATGTTATTTCTGAGCTAGGCAGCTCTTCTGCCCAGTAATTCTAGGTACTTGGAAGGTAGAGACTAGAAGGATTGCAGTTTCAGGCCAATCTGGGCAAAAAAGATCACAAGACCCTACACCTCAACCATGCAGTGGCACATACCTGTCAAAACAGGTTACAAGGGAAGTGTAAATAGGAATGCCTGGGCATAAACAAGAAATTCTATTTGAAAATTAATGAAAGCAAAAAAGGCTGAGGACATGGCTCACGTGAAAAGAGTGCCTTGCATAGGAAGCAAGGTCTTGAGCTTAAAACCCAGAACCATCAAAAAAATAAACAAAAATATGTAGAAAAGGTAACTGTTGCCAGGCACCAGTGGCTCACGCCTGTAATCCTAGCTACTCACGAGGCTGAGATCTGAGGACTGCAGTTCAAAAGCCAGTCCGGGCAGGAAAGTCTGTGAGACTCTTATCACCAACTAACCACCAGAAAACCAGAAGTAGCACTGTAGCTCAAGTGGTAGAGCGCCCGCCTTGATCTGAAGAGCATGGGGACTGCTCCCAGGCCAGCATTTAAGCCCCATGATCGACCAAAAAACAAAACAAAACAAAAAAATGAAATAGTAATTATGCTGCATGCTGCTGTTTATTTAATCGTGGCATATGACTTTAAGGATAATTCCTAAGATGTCTGAAAGCAGTGTTTTCCAACTGTGGTTTGTAAAATAAAAATTCAATTTCACATCACTTATAATAAAGGTAAACAGTTTTGGAAAATCAGCTCATTATATATGCACATCCCTACTTACATATACTGAATCAAACAAAACTGTGACTTCATAGGTTCTCAGGCTTTGATTTCAATTTCTTCCTGTGGGACAGAAGAGACTTACAGACCTGATGTTTATTGAGTGATAGCATCTCACCTTTTTAGAGCACTTGGCTGTGGTTTTCAGACAGCACTTCTTGTGACAAGCATACTTACATACTGAAAAACAGGTTAAAAAGGAAGTTTTACAAGTCTGCAAATCAATGACAACTTTTTTCAAGGTTACAACTTCATTTTGGATACAAGTTTTTTCTTTAGATATACGACTACTATAGTGTCACATATAAACTGTGCTCTTAGCAACTAAAAAAGGAGTTTAAGCTGTTCTGTGGAAGAAATGAAGTTGAAATAACATGTCCAAATATTTCTAGTCAATATCAATGGGAAGCTTTTTCTTTCAAAATCACCTGTCCTGCTCCTACACTTACCCCTCACCTCCAAATTCCAACATGATATTTATCTATCTATGTGGTTTGATATACAAATAAGTGCTAGATGCTCAGCAGCCCACTAAAATGCCAGATACACCTATTAAGTATCTTTTCTATGGGTAAGAAAGGCATTACTGTCAAAGACCCTTAAAAGAAGAGGAAACAATTGGGCAGTATCTTAAAATATAGAAAAATAGTTACTTGTTATCTCTAAATGCTCAGAATACTATGAAAAAGACTATGATATAGTAAAACTTGTGATAGGGAAGATGAAGTAAAGAAGAATAGATTCAGGAAGTGGCAGATTCCCACAGAGGCAGGGCAGGTGAACAGGAAGGCACTCGAGGACAGGGCTCTGAGAACCAACTCCTTCCTAATTATCTCCTTTATTCTGTTCTGGCCCACTAGTAAAAGCCAAGTCTCCTAGAATAATCGATGGCACTAGATGTATGGAATTATGAACTGGTGATGTATGGGATTATGAAAGTAGAAGTTCCACTGTAAGCTAGAAACAAGTTAGGTTACAAAGGCTTTCTACACACCTTTTAGGATCTATATATTCTGTTGGGAAAGGATTATTATAGAACAAGATACCTTTTGAGCTGTAAGCTAAGAATTCTATGCATTGATCCATCCAGAGGTCTACCTACAAATATTTACTATAACAGTGAAACTTATGACAAATATGCTTCCTCATCTTTTTAGAAACCTAGAAATTAGTATTTAAAACAATTTCAGGTGGAGGTATGTGTTATAAAAGACTATTAAATCTGAGTTAGAGGATAGCTAATTAATAATGATAGCAGAATAAGAGCTCTTTGAAAAGCTAACATGTTAGTGGAGACCAGAATTAACTAGATATAAAATCATGCTAACATCTGGGAGAAAAGCATTTCAGAATGACTGAGCTGCAAGTACAAGGCTGTGACTGAGTAATATTAAAATATCTTGTCTGGACATAAAGAGTATAGACAAGAGTCAAGCAGCATGAATTTATTGTTTCTTGTTAAAGAGAACATTAGAAAACTTACATTTGCAAACAGAAGCTCGGTCCATTATCCATATTAAAGAAGAACAGTATTCACAGTATGTAGGAATGCTATATTGGGTAGCCTTGAAGATGTGGCCATTGTGTTCTTCTACCTGCATAAAAAAATTAGCTATTTATAATAAAGGCAATACAGTAAATTCTGCCCTATTGTAGTTAAGCAAAGGGGACTTCATTCTCTTAGGAGGACAATTATCCTCTGAGAAATAAAATAGTTGGTCATCAAATAGAGAAAAATTTGGGGGGGAGGGGTTAGTACTACTGAGTCTTGAACTCAGGACTTCATGCTTTCCTTTGGCTTTTCCACTCAAGGCTGGCACTTTACCACTTGAGCCATATTCCACATGAAGCTTTTTGCTGGTTAGTTGGAGAGAGTTTCATCCTGAGAACTGAGACTACAATTGTGCCAACATATGACAAAAGGAGGTATTAGTCAACATTTTTTGAAAATTTATTTAATGTCTGGCTTAACAAAAGATACCATAAAAAAAAAGATAGCATAGTCTCCATTCTTCTTCTGCCCTCAGCTATTGTAGGATGCAAGTCAGTTTGAAACATATATAAAGAGAACCCAAGCACACAAAGATATGAACTGGAAAATGGAGTACTATTTCTTTTGGTGATACTGGGATTCGAACTCAGGTTTCAAGCTTACTAGGCAAGTGGTCTGCCACTTGAGCCATGCCTCAACCCATTTTAATTTCATTTTCAGATGGTGTCTCATATTTTTGCCTGAATTGCAATCCTATTTATGCCAACCATGTACCTGTGAAGTCAAGGGCTTTCAACCATGCCAGTTTACTGGTTAAGGTGGTATCTCTGTAACTTTTTGCCAGGATTGGCTTCAAACTACAATCCTCCCCATCTGGATATGAGTTTCTTAAGTAGCTGGGATTATAGGTATGTGCCACCTTTCTGGCTGCAGGATTTTTTTTTGGGGGGGGGGTCTGTGGTGGGGCCTGAACTCTGGGCCTGGGCGCTGTCCCTCAGCTCTTCAGCTCAAGGCTAGTGCCCTATCTCTTGAGTCACAGCACCACTTCTGGCTTTTTTCTGCTTAAGTGGTGCTGAGGAATCGAACCCAGGGTCTCATGCATGTGAAGCAAAGCACTCTACCACTGAGCCAACTTCCCAGTCCCTGCAGGAATACTTTAATAATCACTTCAGACAATGTTATTACACCAAATGTTTACAAATGATAGTTTTTAAATTCAAGTATACAGCCAACAAATATACTGTCTTACACCGTGTAACACCTATAGTTCTTGGCTTCATTAACATTTAAAACTTTGCATGGAGCTCATCTATAATTCCAGCTACTTGGGAGGTTCACAGAGGTAGAAGAATCACAAATTTGAGGAAAGCCTAGGTAGAGCCAGGGAGACACTTCCTCAGACACCAATTATAACCCAAAGAGCTAGGAGCATGGTTCAAGTGGAAGAGTCCCTGCCTAGAATGCAGAAAACTCTAGCTTTAATCCCCAGTGCCACCAAATAAACAATCTTCACTTTTAAAGATACCACTAAGGAAAAGAAAGAGTAAGCCACAGATCCAGACTGTATTTGCAAATCACTTATCTGATAAAAGGCTACTATCCAGAAGCACAGTAGGGTGACACAATTAAAAATAAATAAATAAATAAATAAACATCTCTTCACATAAGAAAAATAGTCAATAGGTACACCGAAAGATGCTTCACCTAATTAGTCCTGAAGAAAATTTAAACCTATAATGTAAAACGTAAACATGCAGACATGTAAACAAGAATATACCACATCATACCAACCAGAATTTCTTTAACCAAAATATGTATGCATACATGAAATGTTGTTGAGGTTGTTAGGAGTTCTCTGGGCAACAGGCAGCTTCTAAAAATTATCTTATAACCCAGAAATTATACCTTCATGTTTACAGCCAAGAAAACAGAAAACATATGTTCATAAAAGCACTGTACGAGAATGTTCATAGCAGCACTATTTGTAACAGCCAAAAAGAGAAAACACCCAAATGTCTCTCAACTGGTGAAAGGATAAATAAAACGTGGTGGAAAGGGCTAAGAGTATAGCTGAGTGGTAGAGTACTTGCTTATTCAAGGGCCCAGGTTTGAACCTCAGATCATCATCACTAAGAAAAGGCTAACTACTGCTATAACAGCATGGAAAAAACGCAGAAATATTCTAAAAAGTCATGTGCAAAAACTATATATTATATGATCCCATTTTCATGAGCTATTCAGAAAAAACAAAAATACAGAAGATCCATTTAGAAAAGAGATCATATTTGTAACATTATGAGAAAGATTTTCAGTTTTCTGCCATTTTAGGAAGGCAACAATTAAAAACATTTTGTCACTGGATTCAGAGCATATCTGTCATTCAAAATTTTTGTACAAATTTGTGGAGTACCTTTTCTTTTTTTTTTTTCTACTCAAGGCTAGCACTTTTCCACTCTGAGCCACAGCACCACTTCTGGTTCTCTGAAGACTAGCGCTCTACCACTTTTGAGTCACAGTGCTGCTTCCGGTTTTCTGGTGGTTAATTACAGATAAGAGTCTCATGGACTTTCCTACCTGGACAGGCTTTGAACCTTGCTCAGAGCTCAGCCTCCTGAGTAGCTAGGATTACCTATTCTTAAAAAGTATCTACAGAGCCGGGCGCTGGTGGCTCACGCCTGTACTCCTAGCTAATCAGGAGGCTGAGATCTGAGGATCGCGGTTCAAAGCCAGCCCGGGCAGGAGAGACCGTGAGACTCCTATCTCCAATAAACCACCAGAAAACTGGAAGTGGCGCTGTAGCTCAAGTGGTAGAGCGCTCGCCTTGAGCTGAGGGACAGCGCCCAGGCCCAGAGTTCAAGTCCCACAACCGACAAAAAAAAAAAAGTATCTACAGATACATATGCTTGAAGCCACTTAAAAGTCTACAGTTCCTTTTATGTTACTTTAAATTAAAAAAAAAAACATTAAAAAGGTTCACTTACTAAATCTGTTTCTTTTTTCCTTCTTTTCTTTCTTTCTGTTTTTGGTACCTGCCAAGGGGTAGAGAGAAATACAGAAATTGAGATAACAAAGATTAATATAACATGTTACTTCTTCGTAAATGTCAAGAACTATCTGTTCTTAAGTAATAAATATTCCTCAAGAAGAACTGTGCAGTACTAATAGCCACAGAATGGCAGAATACTGCTGTTTGTTCTAAACCTCAGTTCCGTCAAGAAGCCACACCATTACTTTATTAGCTAAATAGCTCTAAAAAACTATCTACCAGCTTTCTGGTAGTACCAAACACAAAAAGAGTATCACTTGGAAAATGAAAAAGCTCTTTTCCAACCACAATACAGAATAATCTAAACCTCCTCCTTTAAACCCAGAAATGCACAAAATAAAGACCTCAACATATCCATAACATAACTGTCAAGGACTGCTTCTCCTTAGAAAATGATTTAAGATGCTTGTAAACTTGCATTCCTATAAGGCAGACTATCTGCAAACACAATACAGCAAAATCCATACAAAACACTGAAGTTCCTCTTGATATAAGCAGAAGCCTCACTGTTCCCTGGGGTAATGAGAAGAAACCCACTTGGGACTTGACCAAGCTACAATGTGGATCTCCTATTAGTCATTTATTTGGTAGGGCTAAAACAGAATTAAATAGCAAACAATACGATCTGAGTTCATAACATGCACTTAGAAAATCAAAGTTGTTATTAATGTTATCTAGATTTCCTGACATACACATTTTCTTACAAACTAATTTATGAGTCCTAACATAAAGGCCACCAGATAAAACAACGACTTACATACTTAACAATTATTTTTCTAAAAAGAAACATGGGTTCTGATCTCTATTAAAGCTGAGAACATAATCTTGAGGGCCCAAAATATGTATTAACTCTCATTTTAAACTAGTTGCAGAAGTTGAAAGTCTTGAAAATTTTACTACAAAAGAATGGAGTGTGGAGGATGCTAAGTAATGATAAATGGACAAGTTTTCTGAAATGATTTTCTAAAACACAAGATATCCTAAACAGACTTTCAAAAAACTCATGATACAATCCCTTTAGAAATCAAAATAAAGCATTTCATATTTACCTTTGTGGTTGTGCTGTCTGCAGTCTTGAATTCATTCATGTATTCATCTAAAAACACCTTAAAAGTGTTGACCCAAACTCTAACTGGAGATTCACTCCAATCACGCTGCTCAAGCCTCATAGTCTTTTCCAGAATCTGCTCAAAGAGGGCATAGAGGTCTTTGTATCGTATGCTTTTCCCATCATCCATCTAATAAGAAATAAGAGAAGAACTGTAGGTTTTATGAAGCAATTCCTTTTTTTTTTTTTTTTTTTGCCAGTCATGGGGCCTGTACTCTGGGCCTGGGTGCTGTCCCTCAGCTCTTTCAGCTCAAGGCTAGCGCTCTAGCACTTGAGCCACAGTGCCACCTCCGGCTGTTTCTGCTTATGTGGTGCTGAGGAATCGAACCCAGGGCCTCATGCATGCAAGGCAAGCACTCTACCACTGAGCCACCTTCCCAGCCCTGAAGCAATTCTTTATGTACAGAAGGTAATGAAATTTTGGTAATTGTTACAATAAAGGTCAAGGACTTGAGAGTTTTCCTAATGAACATGCCCAAGAGGTCATTACAGTACGGAATGGAAGCAGAATAAAACCATAGCAGTATTAGTAAAAGACTCAACAGTATAAACAATGCAGTAGTGAGCAAGTCCCTGAGCATTGCTTTCTGAAGTCTGGATTTGGAATTTATTTCTAAAGATTATTTGCAACCCTTTGAATAACTAATCTCACAAATGAACCTTTTTTAGACAGTTCTACTCTAAAATTAAAAGAATTTTTACTTGGATTTCTGTCTAAAATACAAATTAGATAATATTTTCTTTTTCTGAAGAAGAGTGACATGCATGTTGCAAACAAATCTAAAAGGAACTCCTTTTTTAAATAAAATCTGGAATGGTTATAAAAAAGAAGAGATTCTAAGTGACTAAAAGTATATACACTTAAATTTTATTTTGCTCTCATCATATTTAGATTAGAGATTGGACATTTTTGATACAGTGTTAGAAAACAACTACTAAGCATATTTTCTCTTCCTGTGTGATTCAAAGTGCACTAAAGAATCTAACACCCCTGAGTTCCCAAACTAGGAAATAGAGGTACAAAGCAGTTAATGAGATGCATGTCAAAATATCTGGGCAGAATTGGCAAAAACCTGTCATTTCTTAAACCTAGTAATTTGTCATAAGCTTATTACTTCTGTACGAGTCTTGAAATTCCTGTTAGCTCAAACTCCATAGCTCCTGTTACAGTAAAAAAAAAAAAAATTTTTTGGGGGGGGGTCCGGTCGTAGGGCCTGAACTCTGGGCCTGGGTGCTGTCCCTCAGCTCTTCTGCTCAAGGCTAGCGCTCTACCACTTGAGCCACAACGCCACTTCCGGCTTTTTTCTTATGTGGTGTTGAGGAATCGAACCCAGGGCCTCAGGTATACAAGGCAAGAACTCTACCACTGAGCCACCTTCCCAGCCCACACTAAAAAAATTTTATGCTGAGAAAAGTGTAAAAAGTAGAATAGACATTATAGTTTTCCTGACTTCTTTGCATTGTGAATTAAAGAATATGCTGAACAAAAGAAAAACCCAGTTATGAATTATTTTATAAAAAGTATGTGAGTTCACAAATACTGATTTAATATTTAGTATTATTGTATACTTTAATATCAAAAATAAAATTTGAAAACATGTCAATTGTCATGTGAAAGTACAGAGTAAGTGCAAAAATGGTACATGCTGATAAATAGAATTCAGTGACCACATACTGCCTAAGTCCAGGGGGGAAGAATGCATAATATATTCCATATATACAGTTGAAAGAGTTGTTAGAAGTCTAATACTAGAGAGCAAGTAGGCAAAACAAAATCATATCTAGAATATACCAGCATCTTAGTATGAGAAAAATAAATGGGGGAAGGGAAACCCCAAGAAATTCAGAGACAGTATTAATCTGAGATCTTAACATACATTTCCTCAATTATCCATAGAACAAAATCAAAGAACTGGATAATTCTCTCATTGTATATGGCTCCTACAGTATCTTCTAGAACATCATCAAATTATTCATATGCTGAACTACAGTGTCTCCCAACATGGTGTAACTTACCGCCAATGCAGATGAATAAAAGCTGAAAATATTCTGTCGAAATTCTTTTAGGGCTTTTTTAAATACAACATCTACTAGTGTATCCTTTTTGCTGTCCTCATTATCTAAGTCATTTATCTGGGGATCATAAGAAGAAACGAACACAATTGACTAATTTGAAAGAGGGAAATGTGACAGCAGAAAGGTGTTATATCTTTAAGTGTTCTGAAAGTAAAAGCCATCTGATATATTATCACTGCTCAGTAAGTTTACACAATTTAACACCGTATGATTCTACAGTTCTGTTGCTAGAAAAACTACAAACATGCAAAGACAAACTTGTAAAAGGTAATGTGATAATTATAACAAGTCAATAGTAAAGCCTAAATGTTAAAATTGTCCACCTAATCTGACAAATGCACATCCTATCACCTCAACTTTCTCATCTGAAAGAGAACAAACTACCTAGATTACTGAAACACATGTCACCATCATCTCTAGAAGGGTAAATACTCTGAATCCAAAGATGCTCAGAGGTGTAACTCAGCAGGAAAGTGTACCTTTTTCAGAAGAAACTCATCCATGCTTTTTAAATCACTGGCACTTGCTATAATTTGGATGGAGTCATTTTGCCAGTGCACAGAATCCACAGCCACACTGCTGATCTTTACACCCCGTTTGCGCTTTGCCTTTGGGGAGGGCTCTTTGTTCTCTTTGAATTCCTTCCGGCAACTACCAGGTAGTTCTGGACTCAGAGGAGGTGTTGGATGATGCTGAGCTAATTCTACAATTGAAGACAGAGTATCCAGAAGGATGTAGTAGTTAGTAAAAAAAGATCAATCATATTCACATGCTTAAGTTCCTTTGGAAAACAAATGCAATTATCAGAAAAGTAACATTCAGTCTTCACAATGTTCAAGAAAATGAATTAGAGAATAACTACTTTTTTTGGGGGGTCCCGTTGTGGGGCCTGAGCTCTGGGCCTGGGCGCTGTCCCTCAGCTCTTCAGCTCAAGGCTAGTGCGCTACCACTTGAGCCATAGCACCACTTCCAGCTATTTTTTTTTTTTTTTTTTGCTTATGTGGTGCTGAGGAATTGAACCCAGGGCCTCATGCATGCAAGGCAAGTGCTCTCTCTTCCCAAGCCCCTACAATAACTTCTTTTTAATGACTCCCAACATGCTGAGGGGATAGAAGTACAACATACAACCACACTAACACACTAAATACTACTGATCTAGTTGTAGCTGTGCTGTATGATTTAATAAATTACCAGCCAATAATAAGCCCAACAAGCAGTGGAGTTTGAAAATTACTCTTTTTTTCTTTATGGTCTACAACATGACTATCAGTGGTACTATCTGGTGACAGCTGGAAATTTGTTAGGGAGTTAGGTAACATCTGGCTTATTTTTGCTTGAGTATCTTTAATATGCAGGATTTTGATTCTCACTTAATTCCTGGCCTAGACTGGCTTTGTACATAGTACTGAAAAGCACACTTTTTATCTGTAACTACTTCCATTGGGAAAGATTCCATGCAGCCCACTCATCCAGAAGCCGACTTGGCTTGTAAAGCCAAGAGAAAATGGTGGCTCTCGGTTTCCCAGGCTTCCTATACATTTTCTCACCCTCTGACACCTCTGATAATGAAATAAATGTGTCTCCCAGACATTAAGTGTCACTTCTGGCAGGAATTAAACTCAACCTCAAATATAACACTAGAATAAAGAGTATAAAGATAGAAGTATATTCAAACTGATAGTAACTGATTCAAATTTTGTTATGTAACTTAACAAGTACCTTATTTACTTCATTTGGAAAAATTAGTATTATATTATAAAACAATGGTTTTTTTAAAACTTGTCTATAAACTCACTGTAACACTAAAAATAAGGAAAATATCTTGGACTAGGTATATGGCTTAATGGTAGAGTGCTTGACTAGCATGCATGAGGTGCTGGATTCAATTCCTCAGTACCACATAAACCAAAAAAAAAAAAAGGGAGGGTAGGATATATCTTAATATTTTTTATCTAAATATAAATAAAAGCCTATAAATCCTAACTTTTAAATGCAGTAAAGTCTACTTATACATATTTTAACTGATGAGCCTTAGACTTCCTGCTTTTCTTGGGAATCTGCAGTGAATGATGTAATTAAAGAAAATGAACTTAGAACAATTACTACTGATCAGATATTAAGAAAATGAACACCACAGTAATTCATCAGTGGTGAGGAATTCAAAGTTCTCTAAATTAATCTTTAGCATCTACTTTATTACCAGTTTTATCCACAGAAAATGGTCAGCTGATAGATACTAAAAAGGAGTCAGATTATACCTTTACCTTTCATCAGAGCTCACAGCTGCCTCTGCTACAAGCCCATCTTCTCCTATGTAGTTTGATCATTTTTTCTCATATACCCCAACTTTCTCCATGAGAAGGTTTTGTCTGTTACAAGTGAGTCTATTCTCTTCCTAAAAGCGAAGAGATCCTATGGCCTCTCTATTTTGGTCCCTACCACATTCCTCACCTCTGATGTACATCCATGTTGAAGGTGACAGACTACATAGGAGCTAAAAAGAAGCACACCTGAGAAAGGGATGGGGTAATCTTCTAATGCTGGGATTACTGGAATTATGGGAGAGTTAGTGCTCACTGGTGGGTAGTTTCAGATACATTATTATTCATGCTCCCTCAAGCAAAAATATTAGCTACCTCATAAAGTGCAACCAGTAGGTACAACTACAACAGTGTTAAGAATTTAGACTCTGGAGATGTCTAGATTCAGTTATTTACTCTTCTAATTACTTTTTTGGGAGGTCAGTTGTTGGGGCCTGAACTCTGGGCCTAGGCACTGTCCCTTAGCTCTTCAGCTCAAGGTTAGTGCTCTATCACTTGAGCCACAGCACCACTTCCAGCTTTTTCTGCTTATGTGGTGCTGAGGAATCGAACCCAGGGCCTCATACATGCAAAGCCCAGCCTTCTTCTAACTACTATTATGTATATCAATAATTGAATTTTGTTTGCCCTGGTGTTCTTATAGATAAATTAGAATTAATAATGATACCCAAGAGAAACTTGTCAGAATAAAATGAGTTAATCCATACTGATATGCTTAGCACAATACTACATGTAGAAAGTACTCAAAGTTGATGCTCTGAATTACTGCTAATAACAAATACGATTTAAACCAATGATGGCTACTTTTCACAGTTTTGAAGATGTCTTAAGATTCATAATCATTCTTTTTTATCAGTAGTGGGACTTGAACTCAGGGTCTGGGCACTGCCCCTGAGCTTTTCTTGCGCAAGCACTCTACCACTTGAGCCACAGTGTAACTTCTGGCTTTTTCTGTATCTGTGGTACTGAGGAATTGAACCCAGGGCTTCATGCATGTTAGGCAAGCACTCTTCCACTAAGCCACATTCCCAGACCTAACAATCATTCTGGAAGGGGCTCAATGCTCTATTGCGTTATGCAACAGAACTTTGGAACATAAAGTTACAGTGTAGTGTCACTTATTAACTAAGGAAGCTTTTAACAATCCTGGTCCCTTATCTCATTAAAAAGTCCAACAGGATTATGGTTATGAATGACAAAGAAATAACCAACTTTCAAAAGAGTAAACAAACTACCACACTTAGTCTATTTTTACCATCTGGAAACTGATGAGTTGGAATCACATCTGAGCTGGCAAAGAGTGCTGCAACCTCTGATTGGGTGGCAGGTTTTACTCTAGTCGTCTTTTTCTCTCCTTGTTTTCCTTTGGCCCAGAATCTCATCTTAGCTCTCTGAGGTCTTAAAAAAAAAAAAAAAAAAAGATAAAATCAGCATGTCCCAGCAACACTTAAGTATTATCTGAAGGTTTATATACTGTTCATGCATAGTAATCTACTTAACCATTGCATTTAAATTTAATCATAGTTAGCTTTTAGTTCTACATTTAAACCCTCACAGGGAAGGTGGTTCCTATTTTTTTCTTTCTTTTCTTTGTGTGTAGGGAGGGTGGATGTTAGGAGTTTGGATTGAACCCCTGACCCCTGCAAATGCTAGGCAAGTACTCTCCCACTGAGCCAGCTCCTCATCTTGAATACAGAAGGATAAAAACATAAACCAGAGAAGTTAAATGATTTGCTAAAACAAAACATGTACAAAGCAGTAGAACTAGAGGATTCCAACTCAGGCTAACTCCCAAACTAGTGTCTCCTTGATCTTATCTCCCATGCAGCTTGGATTTAACACATAACAAAGAAAACACTGTTAAAGAAGAGCCTGTTAACTATTATCCATTCTAAGAACCATGACTTTCTTTCATTAATTTCCAGTCTTTATGGATAAGCATGTCAATTTTTACTTCCTATAATCATCTAAAATCTTTCTTTTTTTTAGCAGTACTAAGTTCAAGCCCAGTACCAGAACAAAACCATAAAACAAACAAACAAAAAAACCCAAAAAACAAAAAAAAATTCCTGAAAGTCTTTCTCTAAAAGTGCTTATATAATGTACATCAAAAAATTCTTATTTAAAAAATAACAGTTCCTACAAAATCTCTTAAAAACAGAAATTACTTTCTGAACGTCTTTCTCTACAACACTGGGTCAGAATAGAACCCAAGACAAAGCTCAAACATATTCTACTCTCTTTTTTATTTAATACATTTTTTATTGTGAAAATACCATACAGAGGAGTTACCATTACATGGGCAAGGTAATGAGTACATTTCTTTTTTTTTAATTATGAAAATACTGTACAGAGGGGTTACAATTACATGGGCAAGGTAATGAGTACATTTCTTTTTTTTTAATTATGAAAATACTGTACAGAGGGGTTACAATTACATGGGCAAGATCTACTCTCTTCTTCATATTTTAGTTCTCTTCTTTTACAACAAAGTCCACAAGTCATATGACTTAGAGATGTCCCAGAAATCATATTGCTATATTCAGAGGGTAATATACCTTGCCGTATATACCCTGAACTATTATGTGTCTATATTATGTGTGTGTGTATGTATGTGTGTATCTGGGCATGTGCGTAAAACTAATAACTATTTCTTGACAAATCAGCAAATGAACTTAATTTCAAAGTTCAGTATTTAACTTCAGCCCATTTTTAAACAATGCTGTATTACCCCCATTAATTCTATGCATACTTCATACCTTATATCTGAATCAGAAGCCTTCTGTCTCACTGCCAATTTTGTAATCTCTCCTTGAGACAAAGTTTTATGAAGCTTTGCTTGTTCATCAACTGAAGAATATCGCTGTGATGTCTGTAATAATTACAACAGATTTTTAAAACCAAATAACTACATGATAGCACTATAATTAAAACTGAGCTTCAGATGTAATAACTATAGATGTTAAAATATAAAAAATAAGCCAGGCACTTATACCTGCAATCCTAGTTACTCAGAAGGCTGAAATCTAACATTTTCATTTTGAAGATCGTGCAGGCAGAAAAAAAAACCCAAGACTCTTATCTACATTAACTAGCAAAAAAGCCAGAAATGGAGGTTTGGCTCAAGTGGTAAATTACCAACCTTGAGAAAAAAAGCTAAAAAGTCTAAGCAAAAGCACGAAGCTCTGAGTTTGAGTCCCAGTACTGGGATCAAAACCTTAAATAAAAATTAAAAATGCATTCATGTTCTATTTAGAGATTAGCTGAAATAATAGAAACTAAATAAAACTCTGCTATCTCTTTAATGTAATGAGAAGGACAGGTAATTTGGGTCAATGAGGATGCTGGATAGGACCCACCTAGTTCATATTCTGACAATGTAACAAAAATCACAGGTGGAAAGGGAAGAAAATGGTCACACAAAAAGACCCGGGATAGAATAATCCTGGAACAATCAAGGGTTGTCTTTCATATTTCTTCTGATGTATGCCAAAAGGTACTAATTCTTTTTATGAATTAACTTACAGATTTTTTTTATTATACCCAGTTAAGGTTACTATTAGAGTCTTATTATATCCAGTCAAGGTTTTTAAAAAGGTACAAAAAACCAAAGGACTAAAGAATAAAGGTCACTAACATTACTAATGTTCTAAACTATATACAATTTACAAAACTTGAATTGAAAATCTCATTTTTTAATTTTTAAAAATTGTGTGTGTGTGTGTGTGTGTGTGTGTGTGTGTGTGTGTATGTGCACGTGCACTGGTAAAGACCAACAGCAGATTAGACAGAAGAAAAGACTAATGAAATGATGAATCTTTGAGCTAGCAGAACCATGTTTCCTCCCCAAACTAGGATTTCTTATTTCCTCTTCTAACCAGCTCAGAATTGTTTTCAGGGGTCATGTGGCTAGATCTAGCATACTCAGATAATGTCCCTTAGTCCCTTATAAATCAGCTGGTTTGGAACTTTAGTTACATCTAGAAATCCCCTTTACAACAGAATCTTGATCAATACAGTGGAAATCCCCTTTACAACAGAATCTTGATCAATACAGTGAAGTAAAGCCAGGAATCTATGGAGCCATCACATAATTCTATGCAAAGAGATAAAGAGATTCGAACATTAGACAAAGTGGCTTGCACTGATTTAAAATAACTGCCAGAAAGAGAAGATTCACCCTAAGTGTAAAAGCCTGAAGAGAACCAACAGTATCTCTGAGCTCTTAGTAATTAATCTTCTATGGTAAGAGTTAATCTGATTAAGTGTAGAAATTTCAACAAAAATATTTGATGTGAGCATTTAAAATATTTAGCCATGGGGTAAACATAAACACAAAGGTAAGCCAGGCACCAGTGGCTCACACCTGTAATCCTATCTACTCAGGAGGCTGAGATCTGAGGATCACTGTTCAAAGCCAGCCTGGGAAGAAAAGTCTGTGAAACTCTTTAACTCCAATAAACCACCAAAAAACTGGAAGTGGTGCTGTGGCTCAAGTGGTAGAGCACTAGCCTGGAGCTAAAGAGCTCAGGGACAGTGCCCAGGCCCAGAGTTCAAGCCCCACTACCAACCAAACACACAGACACACAGACAGACAGACAGACAGACAGACAGACACACACACACACACACACACACACACACACACACACACGCAGATACAAACATAAAAGGTAGAAATTATAGTAAAAGAAAATGTAGGAAATGGCACTGTGCTGCTACCCTTGAGCAAAAGAGCTCAAGGACAAACCCCAGGCCTCGAGTTCAAGCCCAATAAATACATGCCCCCGCCCCCAATAAAACTAAAAGCTCTAACTGTGTGCTGATGGCTCATACCTGTAATCCTAGCCACTCAAGAGTTAAGATATAGAATCATGGTTCAAAAGCCAGCAGCCTGAATAGAAAAATCCGTGAGAATCTTCTATCCAATTAACTGCCAAAACACCACACTAGCCTTGAGCACAAAAGCTCAGAACAATGCCTGGGTTCTCAGTTCAAGGCCCAGGATGGATGGACGGATGGACACACACACACACACACACACACACACACACACACACACACACACACACACACACACACACACACACACATGCACACACGCACGCAACACACACACACACCCTAAATGTCCTGACAATTAGCTGGGCACCACTGGCTCATGCCTGTAATCCTAGCTACCCAGGAGGCTAAGATCTGAGGATCAAGGTTCAAAGCCAGCCCAGGCAGGAAAAGTCAGTGAGACTCTTTTCTCCAATAAACCACCAGAAAACCGGAGGTAGCACTGTGGCTCTAGTGGCAGATCACTGGCCTTGAGCTGAAGAGCCAAGGGACAGCGCCCAGGCCCAGAGTTCAAGCCCTAAATAAATAAATAACAGATTAAAAATTAAAAACTCAGAATCGGAAGGGAAAAGAGAAAGATTCACTGACAATCTGTTACACAATATGAATTAGCCTATTACTCATGAAATACTGACTAATCAGCTTGGTTTTGATGGCTCACATCTTTAATTCTAGATACTCAGAAGGCAGAGATATGGAAGATCTTAGTTCAAAATGTCTGCAAGACTTCATCGCCAAAATAACCAGCAAAAAGTATGAGGCATGGTTCAAGTGGTAGAGGACCTTCCTGGCAAGCAAGCCAAGGAAGAATACAGGTCTCAAATTCAAGTCCTAGTACCTCAAAAAACAAAACAAAACAAAACAAAAACCACCAAAAGACTGATGGGCAATCCCAGACAATCAGCCTTGAGAGGCTGAAGCAGAGTTTGAAGTTACTTGACCTAAATAAGGAGATGCTCTCTCAACAACTAGAACAAAAAAACAAAGAAAAAAAAAAGCACCAAAAACTTTAACTAGAAAAAAAGGCAACAAAAGAAAATCTTGGCTAAACATAAATTTTTAAGTACCTTTAAAAAAGTACCAAAGGTAGCTAATAAAACAAAAATACATGGCTTCCTAAATACGAAAAGAATTTTTTAAAACAGCAAAGAAAACATACAATGAAATTAATGTATCATACAATAATTATGTAAAATAAAGATGTAACTGAACTTTCCAGTTATATCAATAAGTATGTTTAACTTATCTATGAAAAGAAAATAACTTTTATTTAATTCAAAGTAGGACCCAAATATACTATGCAAAAACCACACACTCAAATCAAAGGGATCTAGAAAGACTAAAAAGCATAAGCAAAAACATTCTAGGCAAGTGGAAACAGCAGTCAAACTGGAAAAAGAAGCATTAAGTGTAACAAACACAACTAACAGCATTAGACATAACCCATCATTCTCAGCATGGGACTCCTCAGTATACAAGAACCTGGAAAGCTACAGAAGACCCCATGATGCACAGGTAGAGTTTATGGATGTATACTCTGAACAGATTATACTTTATCAAATGCATGTGGTCCACTCATAAAAACTGACCAATATTAGCTAATGAAGAAAATACCAGCAAATTCTACCAAATACAAATACATATATAACTAGGAATTAACAAATACACTTAAGTACTTTTTCTCTAAAACCTAAAAACTCTTCTTACTAAACAAGTCAGGTAGAAAAGAAAGTTGAACTAAATATAAGATTTTGTATGAAAAAGAAAACTACATACTATGGTATACAATCTATGGGATACATAGGAAGCAATGATCAGAGGGGGAAAAAATCAGGGACTTATAGAAATCGATATGATAAAACTAAAACAAATGAATTAAATTTTTTGGGGGAGGGGGGTCGGTCATGGGGCTTGAACTCTGGGCCTGGGCGCTGTCCCTCAGCAATTCAGCTCAAGGCAAGCGCTCTACCACTTGAGCTACAGCGCCACTTCCGGTTTTCTGGTGGTTTATTGTAAATAGGAGTCTCACTGTCTCTCCTGCCCAGGCTGGCTTTGAACCTCGATCCTCAGATCTCAGCCTCCTGAGTAGCTAGGATTACAGGCGTGAGCCACCAGCGCCCGGCTGAATTAAATTTCCAACTTAAAATCTAGAAAAGTAAAAAAGTAAACCAAAGAAAGCACAAGGAAATAAATAATTAACATAAAGGCAGGAACCAATGAATGAAAAAAAATGCAAAAAATAGGTATAATAAAGCAAAAGCCATTAACAGATAAATGACTAATGTTAAAAAACTTAAATCTGGAGCTGGGTACCGGTGGCTCATGCCTGTAATCCTAGTTACTCAGGAGGCTGAGATCTGAGGATCATGGTTCAAAGCCAGCCCGGGCAGGAAAGTCTGTGAGACTTTTTTTTTTATTTTGGGGTCCAGTCGTGGGGCCTGCACTCTGGGCCTGGGCGCTATCCCTCAGCTCTTCAGCTCAAGGCTAGCGCTCTACCACTTGAGCCACAGCGCCACTTCCAGCTTTCTTTTTGCTTATGTGGTGCTGAGGAATCAAACCCAGGGCCTCATGCATGCAAGGCAAGCGCTCTACCACTGAGCCACCTTCCCAGCCCCTCTGTGAGACTTTTATCTCCAATTAACCACCAGAAAACTAGAATTGGTGCTGTGGCTCAAGTGGTAGAGCACTAGTTTTGAGCTGAAGAGCTGAGGCTCAGAGTTCAAGCCCCATAACCAAAAAAAAATTTTTTTGAATCTAGAATGTACCACAAAGGTTTATGGGGTGAAGGACCCTCCTTCTAGAGGGGAGGCTTTCGAAGATAAACAGATTATGAAGGTTCTGACCTTATCAATGGGTGTATTCCTCATCTGATTCTATTATAGGTATAAGGTGGTGGAAATTTTAAGTGGTAGGACATCATTGTTGGACATAGGTCCTAGGAGACATGCCCCAAGAAGGTATCTCTTTCCCTCCTGAAACTTAATGGCCACAATGAGGTGACTGCTTCACTACAGAAATCATGAGCCAAAATAAATGTTTCCTCCTCTGTTATCTCAGTTTTTTGTTACAGTGATGGAAAGCTGACTAACACAGCTATGTAACTTAATGTTAAATGCAAATCTCCAAAATAAGAAATGACAGGAAGGAAATAATCACTGAAATAGAGAAAACTTAAAGACGCTAAGAAACTATTTTCCAGGGATGAATCTGATCAAGATGCACTGTACACAAATTGGGATATGTTAAATTGTACTCGTACAACCATTTGTAAATTCAAAAAGTAAAAAAAAAACCACCAATTTTCCAGACTTCCATGCAAATAATTAGAAAAGGTAGATGAAATAATTTCATAAGAAAAAATGACTTAACAAAATGGATTCCATTAGATAAAATGCTTATGAAGATCAATTTTCCTACAAGAAATGGAAGAATTATGCCACAACAGCGCACCATTCCACAATGACTTGAGAGGGGAAGCCTATCAAATCTTCAAAGAACTTAAGAGTCACAGTCCTATAAACAATCCCTGAATTTTCTTTTTTGGGGGGGTGATGCATATAGAAATCCAAGTTGTATAATCAACATTATACCAGCTACTGTCTTAGGGCTCCTAATAGCCAATAAAATACCCAGTAGTTCCCATCAGGCAAAACCTGCCTCAAAGTCATTGTGAGCCCAGGCTCCCACAACATCCAAATATTCTTCTCTAACTTCCCCACTAAGATGGGTTTTTCCCTTACTGTGGGGCAAGATAGATAATAAGTTATACTTCAGTTAACATGTTTTTCTGGCATCTAGTGGAGTAGACACTGGAAAAACAGCAAACTCAACACAGATGAGGATTGGTTTTACAATGCTGGAGAGTCTTCTGCACAGAATATGGCTTTTGGTCTGGGTAATGATGGAAAAAACTATACAGATAAAAGTTATGTTTCTTATCCTAATTTTTTATAAAGCAGTAGATATGGTTTTACTAACCCACTTATTATTATCTAAAAGACTGAAAGTAAAAAGTTATATGGAAGTCATTAAATATTGCTTAGCATAGGCATTATGTCATTCTTGGTGAATGTCAACACAGTAGTGTTGACACCACATAAAAGAGTATTTAAATAGCAGGGTTGGAAGTAGGAAGCTAACATTGAAATTCTGCAGGAAGGAAACTACTACTCTTACTTTCCCTCCCTCACAGCAAGTAACAAATGATTATTAATTATCTAACTCAAGATGTAATGTTTATCTTAAATCCCATGTACATTACTTCTCGACTATAAAGGTCAGAAGGTCATTTTTGCTAAGATTTAATAACTCACTTCTTGGTAAATGTCAGTCAGGACAGAATTACTCTATCCAGAAAAAAAAAAATCAATTCTTAACAATCTGTTTTTTAAAATTCAAGTTTATTTAAAAAAAAAAACACCTCTATTTTGAGAATGCAATAGATTCCCCTTAAAAACAGCAACAAGATGACCTCAAAATATCAGGTAATGTTAGGACATAGCATATTTTCAAGATAAACACATTTAAAAATTGTTCCTTCCCTCCCTAAACCCACCCACCGACCACTATTAGCATATTCTAGAAAGCAAAGCTTCTTCATGCAAGTGTCTACTAGAAACCAGCACACCACCACCTGTTCCTAGAAATAGCTGGTGATGAAAGAGAAAGGCAGTGAGGAAGCTGAGGGGTGACTAACACTGTGCGGGGGGAGCTGCTCTACAACTACTGGCATGCAGTGACGGTCAAGCAGGTGACAGAGGCTAGAACACCGAAAGGAGCCCAACGCTCCAAGCAGAAAGCCCAACATCTGGTTCATCTCACCAAGATTTCCTAATACCAAATATTCTACCACCAAAGGACTGAGGGTTGTTACAAAAGAAACTCTCAGGAACAAAACAGCAGTTATAAATGCTAAGTTTCTCATGAGCAATAAATCTATGTACATGAGATAAATCTGTATTTTCAATAAAATTCATTTATTCCCTTACAAAGATTCATGTCTAGTTATCATATTGAAAAAAGTATTTTATTATTTGTAATTCAAATAAGGGCACCTTCACAATAGTTATTTAAGCCCATAAATTAACAGGTAATGATTAACAGGTAACCCTACATTTTGGCGTAGGTTAAGACTTGTTTCATTAAGAAAAATGTCCTTTTTCATTTGTTTTCATTTTCCCTCTCATGGAACATAAGTATTATCACTTAAAAACTGGGTTAACCTTCCACAGAAAATAAATACAATGAGAATATGTTGGAAATTATAAATTTTAACTTAACTGGTACTTCAATATAATTCAAAGAGTTGGGGCTGGGAAGGTGGCTCAGTGGTAGAGTGCTTGCCTTGCAGGCCTGAGGCCCTGGGTTTGATTCCTCAGCACCATATAAGCAAAAAGAAAAAAGCCGGAAGTGGCACTGTGGCTCAAGTGGTAGAGCGCTCGCCTTGAGCTGAAGAGCTGAGGGACAGCGCCCAGGCCCAGAGTTCAGGCCCATGACTGGACCCCCCCAAAAAAAAATAAATAAATAAAAACAAAGAGTTTAAAACAGCCAAACTAAACTATCTAATAACTCAAAGATTATTATAACTTTTTTCCATAATGAACAGACACTTAAGTGACTGGAGAGCCAATTTGCAGATATCCACAAAAATAAAGCATGCCTTTAAGCGATGCTTAGTTCATAAGACATATTTGGTTCCTATATTGTATATTTTTAGAACAATTCTGAAACAAAATTCTTTACCCTAATATATCTACTTGTGACTCATACTTATCAAACCACATGTGTATCTAATTTCAGCTGAGATGATGATAAAGTTATGTTCTTAGCCAAAAATAATACAGCTTTCTTCAACTAAAATTAAAAAAAATGCCAATTTATAATTTGTGACTAATACAAATTCACAATATATATAGTCTGCTCTTTGGCTGGGTTGGCACAAGCAAACAAGTTGTGCTCAGTGTATGTGTGGTGGCATGTGTAGTTGCAGACTGATGCTGGACCCTTGCTCATGCAGGCAAGTACTCTGCTTCTGAGCTAAATACCAAATCCTTGATTTGGGGGATTTTGTTTTTTTGAGACAGGCTTTCTCTATGTGGCCTAAGCTAAGTTTGAATTTGCCTCCTGATGGCTGGAGTTACATGTGTGTACCACCACATCTGGCTAAAATTTTTTAAATTCATATTTATTTTTTGTCACTAAAAAGTAAGAGAAGATGTATCAAGTTTAAAGGTAAAATTTTTTTAAACATTTCAGCTAAAAATCTACTGACTTAACAGCTATCTTATTACATATACTAGGGATCATTAAACCAAGTCAAATATAGTTCATTGTCTGTGTTTTTATTAAAACAGTCATGCTCATTTGTTTATTTATTGCCTATGGCTGCATCTAAACTATGGTGGTCAAACAAAGTAGCTACAACACAGAATATATGATCTACAATATGATATAGAATATATGATCTAACATGACCTATGGCCTTAAGAACCCCTTCTTAGAACTTTTTTGTTTAATTTTCTTTTTTGGTACTAGGGAGTCAAACCTGGGCTGTTATAACTGCTAGACAAGCACCTTGACATGAAATTACACCCCAGCCCCATTTTTTTTAAATTGGGCTTGAACTCTGAGTGCCTGGGCACTGTCCCTCAGCTCTTCAGCTCAAGGGTAGCGCTCTACCACTTGAGCCACAGAGCCACTTCCAGTTTTCTGATGGTTTATTGGAGATAAAGAGTCTTTCGGTCTTTCTTGCCCAGGCTGGCTTTGAACCGCAATCCTTAGATCTCAGCCTCATGAGTATTCTTCTCCACTGCTACATATATATATACGCTTTACTGAAGTTTGAACTCGGGGCCTCACATTTACTAAAATAAGCCATATTCCCAGCCCTTCCTTAGTCCTGTTAAGATACAATTTCCATAATTTCTACATCAGTGATAATTTCAGTGCCTTAATTTTGCCTAATTTGATATACACTGACAAAATGCCCTTTACTCAAATCCTACAAGACTTAGCTTTATTTGCTGTGTTCACTGAGGTTTCCTATGTACAAACCTTTATAGGGAGAGAAGCTGTGAAGGTTAGCTTTAGATTAGCAAAGAGTATTCCCGTCAAGATTTACTTGCTGTTTATTTCCCTTATTGCTTTAAAATTACCATTTCGGAGTCACTGTGAGAGGCCTGACCCAGGCTGGATGCAGGCCCTAGCTCAGAGTGAGAAGCTTGGTCAAGGGAGAGAAGGGGCTCAATAATGTCATCGTAATCATCTTCCTCTGTATCCCCCTCCCCATCGGCAAAAGTACCTCTAGTCAAGAAATCGGAGCGCGTCCGCGCCATTCGAGCTTTCTTTTTATGGGCCGGTCTGGCAACCTGCTTGACCAAATGATAAAACAAATAACACAACAATGTTTTGGGGTTTTTTTTGTTGTTGTTATTTTGGGAGATGATGCCAATGAAAGAGGGCTCGTGAATTTCCTAAAACTCCCTCCACCCCACCATACCCTTTTCTGCTGGTAGAAGTAACAGGTATGACCTAAAGGAACCTATATGTACATCACTGTGGACCAAGAAAGCTACATCTACACTGTTCTTCTCCACGGCCCTAAGGAGTCACATCAAAGTCACCTGAACAAGCTTCCTCCTTTCCTTAGCAACTTTGGTAAACACAATCTGATTTTTTAGGCACCATTCTTTGCCTGAACTATGTATTCCTAATTATAGCAGGTATACCTCATTCTTTCTCTAAAAACATTTAGGAGTAAATAGGCTGATGAACTTATCTACCTTTAAGAATAACTTCCAAAATAATGTACATCTACTTCATGTAGAAGATATATAAACAAATGTCAGTACTTACCTCTCGCTGGCCCGGCCCTGCGAATTTAGGTTTCCAGGCTGGTTCATCTTGTTTACTGACTTGAGGATTTCCACTGTGTAACGATTCCTTGTCCACACTTTAAATAAAGCAATAGTATTACATTTAAGTTCCTATCAGACCTCATGGAAGTAGTCCTAAATAATAATATGAATTACACTCTGCAAAGTCAAAGAATTCTAGCAAATTCTTTAAGTAATTCCAGATCTTAGTCAACTCCCAAAAGAATAAGTCAGATGTCTTTTACTTACTCCATAATACTATTATTAAGAATCCATATGTAGGGGCTGGGAAGGTGGCTCAGTGGTAGAGCGCTTGCCTTGCATGCCCAAGGCCCTAGGTTCGATTCCTCAGCACCACATAAGCAAAAAGAAAAAAGCCAGAAGTGGCACTGTGGCTCAAGTGGTAGAGCGCTCGCCTTGAGCTGAAGAGCTGAGGGACAGCGCCCAGGCCCAAAGTTCAGGCCCCATGACCGGACCCAAAAAAAAAAAAAAAGAATCCATATGTATAAATGAATTCTTAGAAACCCTGGCTGATAATCACTAGGTAAATTCTACTACAGTGCTATATGTGTAAGAATAATAGCAGCACAATTAGTTCAAGAGTATAGCGAAGTCAGTGATAAGAAAGGACAAATACTGCATCAAATTCCCTACTCTTAGAAATGAATACTAGTCTTATGAGGGGCCTTTTCACTTAAAATACATAAGTGATGAGAACTTCATTGCTCTGAGATGGCTCAAGAACAACTTCCTCTTTCTGAAATCTTCTGTAACTTTCACCAATTGTTTTAGTTTAAACATGAAGATATAGCTTTAAACTATACAGAAAAACAATACAAGCAGGATAAAAAATTGTTATTAGGCTAAGCCATAGAGATGTTATAGTATTAATTTAGGAAAACATAATTTTTAGTTACCATATGGGATGACTGTTTCATCATTATAATATGTGGAGAAATATATATCAGGAACTGATGTAAATCTGAATACAATCCAATTACCTATGTTAACTCGATACCAGGAAGCTTAAAGCTCATCAACAACATAGTATTAAGCTCTCTTCCATGGGACTATAAATTCCTTGGAGATCTTCTATTACATAGCATAGTATATTGGGGGGGGGGGTCAGTCATGGGCCCTGAACTCTGGGCTTGGGTGCTGTCCCTGAGCTCTTCAGCTCAAGGCTAGCACTCTACACTTGAGCCACAGCACCACTTCTGGCTTTTTCTGCTTTTGTGGTGCTAAGGAATTGAACCCAGGGCTTCATGCATGCAAGGCAAGCACTCTCCCACTGAGCCACCTTCCCAACCCATACATAGCATTGTATTGCTTGTAAGTACACACTAAAAATACCAGGTGGTAGGTTAATCGATCTTCCATTTAAAAGCCTTTCACTTAACTTTTTGTTGTTGTTATTGGTTGTGGGGCTTGAAATCAGGGCTTGGGTACTATCCCTGAGTATGCTCAAAGCTAGTGTTCTACCACTTGAGCCATAATGCCATTTCCAGTTTTCTGGTGATTAACTGGAGATTAAGAGTTTCACAGACTTTCCTGCCCTGGCTAACTTCAAACTCCAATCCTCAGGTCTCAGCCTCCTGAGTAGCTATGATTACAGGCATGTACCACCAGCACCCTGCTCTTTAACTTAACTTTTATAAATGAAATCTAGAGTCATAAGGGGCTACTTTGTCCTTTGCCCTGTGCAATAATAAACAAACCCATTAAACAGATGGCAATCATCCCCAGGTAAAGGCCTCTCCAGGATATTCCTTTTAACCAGTGATAGTCAAGCCGAAAAATCCTAGTTTGTCCTAAAGGATTCCCTTTTAGCCATTAAAATTTCCTTTGCCACAGCTGACCTGCTGGTCTTTCTCCAAAAACAAAGACAACTAGTAGGAGATATGCCAACCAAGCTTTTTTTTTTTTGGGGGGGGGGGGAATCCGGTCGTGGGGCCTGAACTCTGGGCCTGGGCGCTGTCCCTCAGCTCTTCAGCTCAAGGCTAGC